CTATCTGCAGTTCTGTGGTTCTTCCTCAAATCAAATTGACTGTTACTTAATTGGTCATCTATAATTTTAGTAAGCCTATAATCATTTACAGTTGAATTAAATATGTTTGCAAGACAATTAATCAAGGAGACTCGTCTGTAGTTATTGGGACCAGTTTAATCACCAGATTTATGCAATGGGACTAAAATGATTCTCTCCATGTTTTAGGGTATTTTCCTGTTTGCAGGATAAGATTGAATATTTTTACATAATTTTCAATCATAAATGGGTTCGAATATTTTATAACTTCAATTATCATTCTATCTCGGCCAGCAACTTTCCCTAATTTTATTCCTTTTATAACATTTTGTTTTAGTTCTAAGACACTGAATGGTTTATCTGTTTCTAGATTTTCTATATTGTTATTCTATATTTTCAAGTTTGTTTTCGATTTCCCTTTGGAAGGTAGCATTAATTGTTGGATTTCCTTGATCCAAAAAAGTATTTTATCAATTTGTCTTCTTCTTTTAATATTTCTGTTTCGTTTGTTCTTTTCTTTATAAATGATTTTAATTTGTTCCAATATTCTTCTGGACTTTACCATTATTTTCCAATAGAAAAGCAAATATTTTTTGTTGATATTGTATGTTCTTAAGCTATACCATCTTTTTAAGATTTTAACATAGTAGGAAAATTTATTGTTTTAAATGGTTATTATTTGGGTTATTTTTTATTCTTTATTTTATTTCCAATGGAATTAATCTTTTTTTTCTTTCATAAATTGCATTATCTGACTTCTTTTCTTTTTCTTATTTTGTTACTTCGAAAAATTGTCTTACACCCTATTATCTCATTTTTTTTTAAGTTGTAATCTCTGTCCTGCCTTTTTATTTTTCACTCTATTCGGTCCTGCCTTTTTTTTTTTATTAGTTTATCCTGACTTTTTTTAAATAAATTGTCATCCTGCCTATTTTTTTTGCCAAGTTGGTCATCCTGCCTTTTTTTTTACTCAAAACTCCTGTCCTGCCTTTTTTTCAAAATTCATCCTAGCCCCCATAAAAATCAAATGGTAGCTCCCTTATCATTGGATAGGGCATGTTTTTTCTTCATCAAGTTCTTTGATTGTTCTGTCCATTTGTAAGTATTAATACTTTTCCATTTATTGTTACCTAATTTAAACTCAGTGTTCTCATAATTTGAACATTTTTAAAATAAACCAATCTTAGCATGATCTGAGAGATATGTTATGTCATTTGTCTTGAAATAGTTAATTGAACTGAGGATAGAAGACTCTCACTTACTAAAGAAGTACTTAGAATTAAACAATGAGAAAAACAAATATAATATACACCAACAAACGAAAATCACTGAATTACAGGCTACTGACTTGGGACAGGCACATACAGAACGTGGCGGGTTTTAACATATTTTCTGGCGCCAAACATTCACCCTAACCTCCGGGCCAGTGGTTTAACAATACAAAATCAGAACAAACTACAGAACAAACTATCAAAAAATGTCGAAACTCACCTGATCGATACAAAGCACAAAAAACCCTAACAAAAACACAAACGACACAAAATTATGTATTTTCTTTCTCTTTTTCCTTGAAAAAGTTGTATTAGCTTTCACTTTTTTGTTTGCCTGGCTACGCCACTGGCAATATGTCCGCTTGCAGATTTTATATTACACCTATTGACTGTAATATAAGAGGTCGGTTTGGTGCGTTGCATTACCTGGTTCGACTTAACACTCTCAAGCGATAGTGCCGGTTTGTTCATAACTCCCGATGGCATTATTATTATTGGATAGAGAATTAATTACCAAGCTCTTTGCTTATTCTGTCCATTTGAAAGTATCAATACTTTTCCATTTACTAGTATTGTTATCTAATTTAAACTCAGTGTTCTCATTAATTGAACATTCTAAAAATAATTATCAATCTTAGCATGGTCTGAGAGATATGTAAAATCATTTGTCTTGAAATATTGAACTGATAACAGGAGACTCTCACTCACTACAGCATAACCAACAGTGCTAAAACTATTTTTAGACATATGAGTATAATAACCTAGACGGCGTGCATAAAGCTGAGTCCACAAACGTAACGTCTTCAAATTACTTCATTTACGACGTCGGCATTTTTCCCAAGAAAACAAACGCGTAACAAAAACACTGGACACTTAAGGATGTTCGCTCCTCTTGTTTTTGAATTTTTGCCACATATTCGGAATCCTCTGGTTTTATCCATGTAGTGTCATTAAAAAATTTTCCCCGCTAACCCCTACTTTTCTTTTAATAATTTTATTACTTATAGTTTAAAAAGCCATATTTGAAAATCCTATAAAATCCTTGTTATTTTTTCATAATTTTTGAAAGAAAAAGGGTGCCAATGTTAAATGTAAGAAAAGTCTAGAGAGAATTATTTCCCGCCAAATTTTCAATGGCTTATATCTCTAAAACAAGCACACGGACCCTACATTTTTTTCTGCTTTTTCGGTTCCTTCATTTATATACTATCAATTTATAATAGTCTTTTAAAAAGCTTGTTATTTTGAAACAGAGAAGCGAACATCCTTAATTTATCACATAGCTTTAAACATAAACGTTCAACATATTTCTTTTTTTTTAACAACAAAGTGCAGCATAGGAACATTCTGGAAATATAAATAAATATATGCTAAGAGCAGTGTAATGGAAATAATAAGCGACTATGTCGTGGACCTTATTCAGAAAATAGCGTTGAAACGTCATTTCTTTAAATTGTAACATAATAGCTGGATATTAAAAAAATTCAGGTGTTCAGGCTGGACTATCGAATCATTCATATTTTGCAGATTTTTTTAAACCTCTTGTTATGCACATTTGGAACATCGAGTTATTTTGAAATAAAAAAATAGCAATTTATGCCTCGTTCACAAGTACATTTAATTCGAATTGAATTCGAATCGAATGCGAATCGAATTCGCTAATCGCGTTCACACACTCTTCTTTTTTAATTCGAATTGATTCGAATTGGATAAATCGCATTATCCAATACGCATAAGAAATGCGTTTTTGTTAATACGAATTAAAAGTTAACGTTGTTAGGACAGTAAAGCGAATTTGACGCGCATTGCAATTCGAATTAAAATTTACGTTTGGACGTTAAACGTTTCGAATGCGAATTAAACTAATTCGAATTAGTTAATGCGAATCGAATTCGAATCACGTGTGAACGCAGCATAAATATTTTTTCTTACCGATTCTTCCATTTTCGAATATTAACCATTCCAAATTACTACTAATACACATAACGAACTACATTCCAAACTCATCCACCATGGCCGTTTTTGAATTTTTTTGCGGTGAATTTCGTATGACGTCATAGTCCGAATCCGAAAAATTCTAGTATACGAAAATGCGGGAAAATATGTTGAATTTGTATAAATTTTAGGTCAAAAACTCTATTTTATGCTTATTTAATTTTACAAGTTTCACATATTTTTGCCGTTTTCTCTATGTTCGTTTCATACTTTATAGATTTAATATTGATAACCTTATTAGTAATAGTAATGTGGATTTTAATGGCTAGCATTCATCATTTTATCATAAAAAAAACTTCCTATTTAAAAGATATTTTAAACACGGTTGTATAAAACTACTTTTAAAAGCGCCTGTTACAGTTGCCTTCAACTTTGTGCACGCCGTCCTAACGAGTCTCCTAATAATCTTCCATTTACTATACGTAGCCCTGAGGACAAGCAGGGATTCAAAAGATTTTTACCATGTATATTCAAAACTTTATATTGGTTAATTCGTTTGTTTTCTATACCAATGCCATAGTCTGAAGGAAGCAAATCCGAACTATCAAAATAATTTATCTGTAAAGAATAATTATTGATATAGTCTTGTAGTTCTCCTGTTCTGGAGTTTAAATCTCCTATAACCAATATATTACCTCTACTAGATAGTGTGCTGAACTCATGATCAAGCATAAGTCATTTTCAAAATGATTCTAGATGAAAATGGAGGAATATAAGAAGCACATGTATAAATGTCCTTTGATAATCCAAAACAAATAATATAAAATGTTATACAGATTGCATTAAGCTGGAACTGCTTACTCTTCCGAAGGCACAGGCGTTCATCCCTATATTTATTTGAGGGGTTCAAGAGTGCTATTATTTTTGCTCTATTTTGTGTGTGCCATATTTCATCAAATTTTATTTGTTCCATATCCATGTAGCTTTGCGACCTTGTCTAGAATTTACTTGTACTTAAACTATATCGATAATTTAGCGCTCGGTCAGGTTTCAGAGATAATTAATGAATTTGGTTGTGTCTTAGCTTGGGCTAGACAGGAAAACTTACTCTATCATCTGTTTCATGACGCCTAATCACACAGAATTTTGACTCATCAAATGGCTAGTTTGCGACAAGAGTAACATGATGAGTCACTAATGGATGAGTTAGGAACTGCTGATCCCTAAGGAACGTATATTCCGTCTCTGGTTTTTGTGGGGTTCAGAAGCTCAATCCTTATTTTTCTGACTGTTGTATATTTATTTTTTTTATTTCTCCAGCGTTTACCGAAAGGTTATAGTTTTCATTTTTATACTTTTTTGTAACTTTTAGTTATTTTAGCGCAAAATTACCTGTTCTTACCAACCAACCCGTCTTTTCTATGTCAATCGAAAGGATCACCCCTTTCTTTCTTCATTTGTCTGACCACTGGTGTGTCGAACTATATTTTCGTTTTTTAAAGTTTTTTGGTATAGAATCTTGCAAAGTAGCCATATTTAACAAACGTAGGTGAATTTTGGGCCTTTCTTCGTTTCTGGCAAGAACAAACTGCTACTTTAATCCGCATGAAATTGAAAGATAGTGATACATGTCAAACATGTCAAAAATCTGTCTTGCATGTATTGTTGGAATGCCAGGCATATAGTGATATTCTGAACATTTTTTTCTGAATTGCACGAATTCCTTCTCAATGCAGGAACTGGTCACAGTGTGAAACACTTTCATTTTCATTTTAGGTAATAGACTCCGTGAATTGGATGTTATGGTTGGTCCAACTTTAAGTAAAATGAAGTCATGCGCTTATCACAAAGGCCGGATTGCTGCTGGGAAGCACCTTATTCTGAAGTGCAGTAAAACTACAAAAGGACGGTATGTCAAGCTGGGCTTAAGAGTCAAGGATATATTAAGCCTAATGGAAGTCAAAGTGTTTGCGTATGGCACGACTTGTTTGAATAAAACTTAAACATTTATTATCTGATATCAAGTATTATGACACTTTTCTTGGTGCTACCATTATCTTATTAAAGATTAAATCTGCTATTTTTTTGTTTTTGATTATATCAGAGAATGCATATATCATTAGAACAACGGAACTTTTGCCTGGCCATGGTAATTTGCATGCATACAAGGAGATGTGTGTTTGAATATAGAAAAAAAAATCATTAACTGCTTTGCTTGAAAGAAATTAAGACAAAAGACTAGCTATAGAGACTTTTAATAATAAAAAAAACAACACTATTTGTGTGTGACTTCATCATCAAATATAATTACGTTGATAGAATGATTGTATACATATTTAAAAATTCGGTTATAAAATTGGGATCACGTATACATGTTTTATTTAAATCTTATTTCTGCGTGTTTGTATTTGAAATAAAATGCTCCGCAGGGCGCAGCTTGATACGACCGCAGAGGTCGAACCCTGAACATTTGGGCAAGTATGGACACAACATTCAAGCTTGATACAGCTCTGAATTTGGACTGTGATTAAATATGTGACACAGCATAGCTTTCTGACACAGAATGAATGTGGTCTAAGAACTGAAAAATTTTAAATTGGACATTCACCTATTATGGTCCAATATCCAAAATCTAAATACATGGTTAGATTCAGCATATCAAAGAACCCCAAGAATTCATTTTTTGATGAAATCAAACAAAGTTTAATTTTGGACCCTTTTGACCTCAATGTGGACAAAGTTGATAATGGGGCCCAAAAATCAAAAATCTAAATACATGGTTAGATTCAGCATATCAAAGAACCCCAAGAATTCATTTTTTGATGAAATCAAACAAAGTTTAATTTTGGACCCTTTTGACCTCAATGTGGACAAAGTTGATAATGGGGCCCAAAAATCAAAAATCTAAATACATGGTTAGATTCAGCATATCAAAGAACCCCATATATTCAAGTTTTGTTGAAATCAAACAAAGTTTAATTTTGGACCCCGATTTGGACCAACTTGAAAACTGGGCCCATAATAAAAAATCTAAATACATGTTTAGATTCAGCATATCAAAGAACCCTAAGAATTCAATTTTTGTTAAAATCAAACTAAGTTTAATTTTGGACCCTTTGGACCTTAATGTAGACCAATTTGAAAACGGAACCAAAAATTAAGAATCTAAATACACGGTTAGATTTGGCATATCAAAGAACCCCAATAATTCAATTTTTGATGAAATCAAACAAAGTTTAATTTTGGACCCTTTGGACCTCAATGTGGACCAATTTAAAAACGGGCCCAAAATCCAAAAACTTAATACATGGTTAGAATCAGCATATTAAAGAACCCCAAGAATTCAAGAATAAAACCCCATTGAAATTGGTCAAGAAATAAGCAATTTATACGAAGTATCTTCTTTTGCACAATACTGTGCATTGCCAATTGAATATTTCTTGCTATTGCGCAATACTGTGCAATTGACAATTTCTTGCTATAGTACAATATTGTGCTATTGGATATTTCTTGCTATTGCGCAATACTGTGCAATTGAAGATTTCTTGCTATTGCGCAATACTGTGCAATTGAAGATTTCTTGCTATTGTGCAATACTATGCAATTGAAAATTTCTTGCTATTGCACAATACTTATTATATAATAATTTACACATCCTGTTTGGTGTGTATCTCCTACCATATCATTATTAATTGCTTTTAAATATAAAACAGAAATAACCAACTTAAAATGGAAAATTTTAAAAGAAAAAAAAAAGGAAAAAAAGAAAAAAAAAAGGAACCCCCCCCCCAAAATTTTTGGAACCCCCTTATGATTCATCACCCCAAAACTCAATCCCAGTCTTCCCTTTGTGGTATGGTACCTTGCAGTACAATTTCAGAGAGATCCATACACTTGAACACAAGTTATTGTCTGGAAACTAGAAAAATGCTTATTTTTGGCCCCTTATTCCTAAACATTTTGGGCAATTACCCCCAAACTCAATTCCAGCTTTTCCTTTGTGATATGGAACCTTGTAGTACAATTTCAGAAAGATCGATACACTAACACACAAGTTATTATCATGAAACTAGAAAAATGCTTGTTTTTTGCCCCTTTTTTTGCCCCTAATTCCTAATATTTTGAGGCAATTACCCCCAAAATCAATCCAAGCATTCCCTGTGTGATATGGATCCTTGTGGTACAATTTCAGAGAGATCCATACACTTGAACACAAGTTATTGTCTGGAAACTAGAAAAATGCTTATTTTTGGCCCCTTTTTGGCCCCTTATTCCTAAACGTTTTGGGCAATTACCCCCAAACTCAATTCCAGCTTTCCCTTTGTGATATGGATCCTTGTAGTACAATTTCAGAAAGATCCATACACTTACACACAAGTTATTGTCATGAAACTAGAAAAATGCTTGTTTTTTGCCCCTTTTTTGGCCCATAATTCCTAAAATTTTGAGGCAATTACCCCCAAAATCAATCCCAGCATTCCCTGTGTGATATGGAACCTTGTGGTACAATGTCAGAGAGATCCATACACTAACACAGAAGTTATGTCTGGAAGTTACAAAAATGCTTATTTTTGGCCCCTTTTTGGCCCCTAATTCCTTAACTGTTGGTACCATAACCCCCAAAATCAATCCCAACCTTCCTTTTGTGGTATTGAACCTTATGGTAAAATTTCATAGAGATCCATTCACTTAAACTAAAGCTAGAGTGCGAAAACCAATGTGTCTTCGGACGACGCCGGACGACGCCAGACGACGACGACAACGACGACGACGACGACGCCAACGTCATACAAATATACGACCGCAAACATTTTTTGCGGTCGTATAAAAAGTAAATATAATTTTCTGCATCTTTTCATCCTCACAATGTCCGTCGCTATTTAAGGTATTGCGTACAATACCCATTCTATTTGTCAGGTTCACACACGTGCACGTGACACAACTCTGCAATTTTATTTTAAAATTTCCTGTCTCGATCGCTTTCCCTTTTCTTTAACTACACGACAAAGCATGATATAATGTTTGCTGGAATTTCAGTATCAAAGGAAATAATTTCTTGTACCATTATTTTTTAAATATCACCACGTACGACTCCCAAAAAATAAGAAAACTGCATCTGTATATTATCTTGAGAATTGTTATGGCTGTAATAAGGTCAAAAGAAGAACCCGCATATGAATTTCAGCAAAATAAATATAACTCCCGTAGCACAGATCATTCCCAGTGTTCTGCCTTAGCATTATGTATATTGTAATGCTTTAGCATTGTATAGTGTAATTCTAAAGCTTTGTGTATAGTGATATGCTATAAATGTACTGATGTAATGCTATAAATGTACGGATGTAATGCCATAAGAATGTACCAAGGGCGATCTTATGAGAATATACATCCAATATGATGCTAAAAAAAATGTACCTAGTGTAATGCGAGGAGACTGTTCATAATGTAATGCTATACGAGTTTACCTTGTGTATAGTGGCAAACAAATTGTGCCTGTATATAATGCAAATAATTTTTTTAATATAATATAAAAATAAGGAGATGTGGTATGATTGCAAATGAGACAACTATGTGCCACAGTTTAAAGTAAATTGGGTGGTTTTTTAGCTCACCTGGCCCGAAGGGCCAAGTGAGCTTTTCTCATCACTTGGCGTCCGTCGTCCGGCGTCGTCCGTCGTCGTCCGTCGTCGGCGTAAACTTTTTACATTTTGAACTTCTTCTAGAGAACCACTGAATGGAATGAAACCAAACATGGCATGAACGTTCCTTATGAGGTGCTGACCAAGTGTTGTTACTTTGTAGCGGATCCATCATCCAAGATGGCCGCCAGCGGGGGACTTAGTTTAACATAGGACCCTACGGGAAATACATACAAATGTCTTCTTTTAGAGAACCACTGAATGGAATGAAACCAAACATGGCATGAATGTTCCTTATGAGGTGCTGACCAAGTGTTGTTACTTTGTAGCGCATCTATTATCCAAGATGGCCGCCAGCGGGGGACTTAGTTTAACATAGGACCCTATGGGAAATACATACAAATGTCTTCTTTTAGAGAACCACTGAATGGAATGAAACCAAACATGGTATGAATGTTCCTTATGAGGTGCTGACCGAGTGTTGTTACTTTGAAGCTGATCCATAATCCAAGATGGCCGCCAGTGGGGGACTTAGTTTAACATGGGACCCTATGGAAATACATACAAATGTCTTCTTTAAGAGATCCACTGAATGGAATAAAACCAAACATGGTATGAATGTTCCTTATGAGGTGCTGACCGAGTGTTGTTACTTTGAAGCCGATCCATAATCCAAGATGGCCGCCAGCGGGGGACTTTGTTTAACATGGGACCCTATGGGAAATACATACAAATGTCTTCTTTTAGAGAACCACTGAATGCAATGAAACCAAACATGGCATGAATGTTCCTTATGAGGTGCTGACCAAGTGTTGTTACTATGAAGCCGATCCATAATCTAAGATGGCCGCCAGCGGAGGACTTAGTTTAACATAGGACCCTATGGGAAATACATACAAATGTCTTCTTTTAGAGAACCATTGAATGGAATGAAACCAAACATGGCATGCATGTTTCTTTTGAGGTGCTGACCAAGTGTTGTTACTTTGAAGCTGATCCTTCATCCATGATGGCTGCCAGATGGGGACAATGTTTAACAAAGGACCCTATGGACAATACATACAAATGTCTTCTTTTAGAGAACCACATACTGAATGGATTGAAACCAAACATGGCATGAATGTTCCTTATGAGGTGCTGACTAAGTTTTGTTACTTTGAAGCTGATCCTTCATCCATGATGGCCGCCAATGGGGGGACTTCCTTTAACATAAGAACCTATGGGAAATACATACAAATGCTTCTTCTAGAGGTGCACTGAATGGAATGAAACCAAAACATGGTATAAATGTTTCTTATGAGGTGCTGATTAAGTGTTGCTACTTTGTTGCCGATTTACTGTTCAAGATGGCCACCAGGATTTTTTATTAAATTACAGGACCAATATTAAACCAAATTTGGCCTCACTCATTATTAGGGTATCTGTTATGATTTTAATCT